CTCCTTTTGAATTCTTTGGGCTGGCCGGCTTTCTGCCCACACTAGCCCAGTGTGAAAACTGGGCATGCTGGCCTGCCAGCTGCGCACCTGCATGCAGGATGTCAGCAGACACTCGTACACAACACGGATGTAAGAGGGTGGCACGGTGTGTGTGTGTGTGTGTGTGTGTGTGTGTGTGTGTGTGTGTGTGTGTGTGTGAGAGAGAGAGAGAGAGAGAGAGAGAGAGAGAGAGAAGTTGCATGGGCCCTGTATGCAGTTTGAAGGCAGCATGATTCGTCGCCGCTCCGTCCTTGCCCCTGTCTCCCCCTGCTCCCATTACAAGACATACTCGTACACATGAGGCCGCAAGGGCCTCACACTTGTGACAAGGCCTCGTACACCCTAAGTGGAGGCCTGGAAGGTAATCAGCCCAAGCGGTTTCTGAAAAGGCGGGGCGAGGTGAAGTCAACATTGTACTCTGTGGCACTGTACATCGACGTAGGGTAGGGTAGGGTAGATGTTAGACTAGATGATCACTTCGGCTGGTAGATAGACCAGCAAGAGTAGAGAACTATTATTGATTGTGTTTTGATTGTTGGGAGCCAAGAAGGGGACTTTTCCTCTTGATGAAGAGGGCTTTTCCTCATCAAGGGACCTCAACACGGTGGACTCTTGCACTGGTCTGAACATAGCTTTCTCTTTTCTGCTAATGGCCTGGTCGCCATATCCGTGCTGGTCACAAGGGCTGGTTGAAACTTTGAGTTTCCACAGTGCAGTTTCCTTGCACACTCACTCATACAGACACAAACGTCAGCCAGCCTTCCTGCAGGCATGCCAGCAACATGCGATGTTGTGTCAATATTTCCGGGAAGCTGTCATTGAAAGTGCCTCTACTGGGTGGACTATCCCCCCTATGCCACCACCCGCTACATCCTTTCCTGGCATGTCTCACGTGCAGCGTTGGGCAACACCTGCTGGAACTGCAGTTGGATCTCCTTCATCCTGGCCAGAGGGACAACAGATGCGGCAGCCTGAGTTGGTGGAGAATAGACTGTCACATGACCACCTATTGTGTGCTCTACTGGAAAGGGTATCACCACCAGGGCGAGCTGTTGAGGACCAAATCTCGCAATCGCTAAACACCCTTACTTTGGATCAGCATTCGTCGTCACCTCCCCATAGAGAGGGAATAATTATTGCGGAAACCCAAGAAACTTGCTCAATGCCGCCCTGTGATGGCCCACCTGATATTCGGCTAGCATGCGATTACATGCTTTATATTGTGAGGATATGAAGGCATAGCCCATGCAAGTTTTTGTTTTTATACGTATGATGACGGTCAACATTGCACTCCTGTATGGCACCCTGACATGTCATGTCCTTTGTGGACAGGGGTTGATACTGCAATGCCTATACGATTTGCGGTCGGCATGCCTCTGTGTTCCTAGCATGTAGAAGACACGTAGCTTGTGACATTCGTCTACGCCGTGCCATTCGATGCAGCAACTGCAACTGTGAGAATTGGATGTGGTGCTTCCACTGTCCACACCCGAACCGGTCCTATCCTTTGTGTAGGGGTGGCCACTTACCATAGGCAACGGCAGCTCCTCAACTAAAAATATCCTGCAACTCAAACACTGACTGGCCTCTTCTGCCATTCTAGAGTAGTCTGCTCCACTGGTGAGTATCCAGAACTGTGTGAAGTCTGTCTTTCCTCTGTTCTGTTGTTTGCACCTCCATCTCCCTCCTCTTCCCCTTCTCCCCCCACCGCCCCTTGCTTTCTATAGAACTCCTCCCCCTACCCCTTTCCTTCCGCTGTGCTCGTGTACTACTAGGAAATGGATACAAGTGAGCATCATTAAGAGAACACAAAATATACGTTGAAGATCTGAAGAAAAACGAACAGGAGTATACCTCCCCCTTTACCCTGCCTCCTTTCATAACGTGCAAGTGGGCCGTTATGGCGCACAAAAAAGTGGGCAGCTGGCGCTCAACCACAATCAACGTTATGGCGCACAAAGAAGGGGGCAGCTGCCTTGTACTTGAGAAGCACAGCAAAAGGGGAGTTGCAAGAACAGATAAAAGGGGTACCCCAAACAAAGCGAAAGTAAACATAGTCAAGAAAGGGATATTATGGAACTATTCTGCTGTGTGTTGTCTGCTCTGGAGGTAAAACTGTTTCATTGTTAGTTAGATTGGCTCATCTAAAGCATTCTTCATTGACTCCAGTAGCGACAAAGCTGCTTTGATTGTGGATCTACTCATCGGGGTGGAACAGCTGCTGTTGAGGTGAAAACCTTCAACATACACATTTACAGGCACACAAACAAAAGTGTAGACGCTCGCACGCACGATGTGAAGCATCAAATGCTATGGAACACCAAATCTTTACCACTCTAGAAACCCCTTGTGTAATGAAATTTTCATCCGGGCTCTGTGCTAACTGTGATGACAATGTTCTGAGATGCCAGCCTCTTTTTCTGCGTATAGCGAATGAGATAATCAGCTTAGATAACCACCTCTACTTCTGGCTGTCGTAAATGGCACTGTCAACCAAATGGTGATACTAGCGGAGTAGGAGGAGTAAGAAGGAAAATGAGGAGGAGGTGGAAGAGGCGGAGGTATTTGGGACAGGATGTGTGGATGGGGAGAGTGGGGAAGAGCAGGCAAGAATGAAACTCTTTTTCTGCGTATAGTGAATGACATAATCAGCTAATGTAACTACCTCTACTTCTGTCTCTTGTAAATGGCACGATCAACTAAATGGTGATAGTAGAGGAGTAAGAGTAGGAAGGAAAATGGGGAAGAGGTGAAAGAGGCAGAGGTATTTGGGAGAGGATGTGTGGATGGGGGAGAGTAGAAGGGGGGGGACTGGAGGAAAGAATGACAACATCCATTTAGAGTGAGAATAAGGTGAAAGAGAGCAAGCAGGTGTAGCTTTGTAACCAAAGCAAGCAATGTGATCCCTAGTTCCCAACCCAACATAATCAGGGCCACACTCACGGCATATCATGATGCTGGGAATCGGAGGAACAATTGTGAATTCTTCTATTTCGACGTTGGAAGGAGCAGGGGAAGGAATAGGGGGTGGGAATGCAGCTGGAGGGCTGAACGGCGTTGGGGATTGAACCAACACTATGTTCTTCTTTTGAAGGCATTATGTTACATCTCATTCCATGTTGAGGACACGTGTAAGGAGGATATGAGGAGCAGCAGCAGCAGCAGGAGGAGGAGGAGGAGGAGGAGGAGGAGGAGGAGGAGAAAGAGAAGGAAGGGTGAAACCGAAACAAAGCGCTGCAACAACATAAGATTAACGATAGGCGAGCAGCCTCAATCCATTGATAGTCATCCCAAGTAGGATGTTAACGATTTGTCAGCCCCACTTTGCGACCCCACCTTGATTGCTGCAGCCAATGATGCTCTTCCATGACTTGATCTCTCAACCTGTGGACTTGAAAATGAAGAAATTGATAATGTAGTTGAGGATTACATCTCGCAGCAATACCACTTCATGCAAAAGCCAAATGCTTACTGATGTTAACCCAAGGTGCAATGTTCATTCCTTTTTCACCTATAAAAGGTAACACTGGCTTCTGTACATATGGGGCTCAAACTGTCAGACTGTCAGATAGGATGCGGTCAGAATTTATACAGTTCAGGTTCACAGGCAGGTGGAGTTGGGGAGTAGTCTGAGTCTCAGGTTTTCAGCTAGAACCAGAAAGTGCGAGAAGGGCCAGGGTGCAAGGCACACTGTACGGCATGTGAACCGGCATGTATATGCCTGTCTGATGGATGGCATTTCTCCTGGCAGCTGGGAATTCACAGACGGTGTAAGGGATGAGTAGAAGGCCAAAGGAACCGCCGTTTGGGGCTCAAGTAATCCCAAAGCCTCCGGCCAAGGTGTCTCAGGCCGAGGTGGACAGCCAACTTCTTCTCTATTACTCCAAACATGTCAAAACTTGATGCACGACATACCCTGAAGCACCTGCATATCACACGAAAATAAAAACAAGGAAAAAAGCAAAAAAACTGGCCAATGTGCCAGTTTCAGAGCAAAATTCGACCAAAAAAAAACACCCCCCCGGTTACCCATGCGTAATGCAGACATCTACGCCCCTGGCGGAGATTGGAGGCTAAGCTACAGTCTTCCCCCGAAGACAGTGCATCCTGATGACGAGTCTATTGAAGATAACTTTCTGTCCGATATAGTCGTGATGAGGATGTGTTGTGGTCGGGAGGGAGACGGTCGTTATGGAATGTGTCAATAGCTGATGGAGATTGTCATCCAGGACCGAGGTACAGTGGTTTCCGAGCGTGGCAAACATATTTCTTGAACCTCCAGATGACGAGTGAGATCAGTTACTTCTGAAAAGAAAGTGCAAATCCGTCAAAAAGGGAAAAAAAAAGAAAGTGCAAATCCATCAAAAAGGAAAAAAAAAAAAAGGTTTCCGAGCGTGGCAAACAGTCGAAAGAAACACTGGTATATCTATTGCCAGTGTTGCAGCAGGAATGGTAAAACACTACA